CGAAAACAGTATGCTGGGACATCCATTATTTTTATTTATAGAAATTGATTCACCAATTTGTCCCGTTGTATTTTGTAAGTGTAGTCACCGTAGCGGCGGTAAAAGCCGGGAATACTGACCGTTTGATCTGCGCCGGCGTCGTGTCGTAAACGTAAACGTATCTAGATGTGTTTGTGTTTACTTACACACTCGGTCCGCGTACTGAACTAGGGTTGCCATTCGTAAAAACCTTTTTTTATGTCTGGAGCATTTTCCAGACATTAAAATGCGTAAACCACACACTCTCCGCCCACCAGGAGAAGCAAACCGGAGTTATCCGATACTCTTCCCCACTCATTTCATCCAAGCTTGTGGCTCGATGAGCTGGGTCCTACCAAACGTTTGCATTTGCGGCCGCTGTATGTGAAAGAAAGAAAATTTATGGTTATTTATTTATTTTTAAGCATTTAACTGCTAGATGTTCAAATCTACGTTTTTACAATGGTTCACAGTAAATAATGTTTCGATGAATTCAACGAAAACTAAATTTATTAAATTCTCTGTATAAAATGTAAGGCAGGTTAATACAGCTTTAAATATGAACGAAGAAGAAGTCACTTCTTCTGTTACATTATGGTGGTTTGACAACCCTATTGCAAGCTATGTTATGTTGGTAATTTTACTAGATTTGAGTTTTACCATTACAAGATCAACCTGAAAATTTTTATTGAAATTTAGTAAAATACAAGACTTAGATTTAGAAGTGTTGTATATTTATCCCCAATCTATATATATATATTAAACTCAAAGGTGACTGACTGACATAGTGATCTATCAACGCACAGCCCAAACCACTGGACGGATCGGGCTGAAATTCGGCATGCAGGTAGATGTTATGACGTAGGCATCCGCTAAGAAAGGATTTTGATCAATTCTACCCTGAAGCGAAGCGAGGGCGGGCCACTAGTTTAACTTAAAAAGTAAATGTCCAAATAGTCTTTCGACGTTTCTAAAGTCACCTAGGGGCTAGTAAACTTATGAAGTCTTTATTTTAACGGATTGGGTTGTATTGTAATTTGTAATTTACTGTTGTTTTAGTGAATAATTTTAATAATTGATAGGATAGAAAGAAAACAAGGAAAGCAGCCATCTTCTTAACATTTCGGATGACCGCAGGCTTTATTGGTGATCCACAACAAAATTAGTGAATTACGCGGAAACGTAGCGTATGCGCAGCTTAAAAGAATAGTACATTTTTTTTAAAACATGAAGATTGCCAATATTAAAGCTATAAAAGTCCGTCAAGCTCAATACCCATCATTCGACCTGCATCCGCTCCGAAGTTAGCCGCCGATCAAGTTCGCAGAACGTCATTATAGTTAGTTAAGTTAGTTAGACTGTGCGAGCGGGACTTAATTGTAATTATGCGAGGTTAGAAGTTTGGTGCGCGCCGAGCAAGAAATTAGCATCAAGAGCTTACAAACTCAAACGAAGACCGTATTGTATTAGGTTGAAGAAATTGTCGAATTTCTCTTCTTTAGTCCAAGATTTCGCTTTTCGTGGAGGTTTTACGATTTGTTTTACATTTTTCACATAAATAAATAAATTGTATTTGCTTTTTTAAACTCACAAATTAACGGATTAGTTTTAAGTAGTTTAAGCGAGGTTTTATATAAATAAATAAATATTTCCAACAATCACACCAATTATCCTGCCTAGCCCCAAAGTAAGTACTGTAAGGCTTGTGTTATGTTTGTTCTTATACTAGGGCAACGTTAATAATACATATACAGTACATAATATATAAAGCATATTTATATAGAAATACCTATTAAACATCCATGACTGGAGTACAAATGCTCGTATTCATCACTCAAACGTCTGCCGCCACCGGGATTTGAACCCAGGACCTCTCGAGTCGGCGTACAACACTCGGCCACGGAGGTCAGTTTCTAAAGAAGTAATGCTTTATTTTTTGGCTTCAAACGGACAGAACTTTTATTTATATGCCTTCGCTAACTGTTATTCACAGGAAAGATCGCAGGTCTCATTATTTGAACTTATCTTAAATACCTGAAATTTTCACAGAATATCTGTTAAATAATAGTTATTTATTATACAAGAGTGGAAAGTTCCTTTTTAACCGCGTGCTCGATTTGGATGACCGAGCAAGCGAAGGATTCTAAAGTTGAGGGAAACAAACGAGCACAAGGTGAAAAATCTTTCCACTCGAGTGCAATACGTAACTTTTCATCCCACCTCAGCGAGGAAATGACAAAATGAAAAAGAAAACAATTTATAATGACAAAATATTTAAGCAATAAAACGTGAAAAACTAGAATGGCGCGAAGCACGCAAATAAAACAAAGAAACCAAGAAGGTTCCAAATTTAAATTTTTTCACAATTTAAAAAGTTCTAATCATAAATTTGGCACCATAGAGGTTACATTAAATAGGTTTAATGACGTTTTGAATTTACAATTATATTGAGTACTCATTATATGTGATGTTCTAAATTCAAATCTACTTTGCCGCTCAAGCGAATAAAATAGAATTTTCCAGCCAGATTTCGAAGCGCAAAATTACACTTTCCGAGGTGGTGGGATGAAAAGAATATATTTCTATCGGCCATTTAAAAATTAACTAGATGTACATACATGAAACGCGACTTCTTTTTCGACTTGTTTTCGATCATGTTTTAAATATTGTAGTAACATATGAACCCTTTTTTGTAATGGCGTAAGAATTGTTGATCGAAGAATGGCGCGATTACATTCGGTCGCCAGTCCGAATACAAGTGCCAATGGAATTTGGGTAAACGTCTAAGTGTAAATAAACGGGAGTCGAGTACGCCCGTATTCGGGTAGTTGTGTTTTGTTTTGGTTACCAGTCACCGTCTTCCAGCCCGATCAGGACCAGTGGTCCCGGTCTAGGGATGGCAAAAGTTGAAAAAAATTATCGATATATCGAAACATCGATATTTTAAAAAATATCAATATCGGCTTCGATATATCGCGAAAAAAAACATCGATATATCGGACCAATTTTCCCAAAAATATATTTAGGTCAGCCTAGCACAGTAATAATAACAATACAAATTATAATTAAAGAATTATCAAAGTACCAAATTGCCGCTACACTACATGACAGTACAGTATCTCACGAAATATGACACGCGGAGTAATAATGGAACGAAAATTATCTCCCTAAAAATAGACCCTATTTTCGAATGATGAAAATGATTGCAGGACCTCTCAGGTGCTATCTTTCGTAAACAAGACTAGACAGTCACACACTTCTGCAGAATATAATGGAAATCAGCACAACCAATCACCAGCGACAACAGATTTACAAATAATAGACAATACTAAATACAGCACAGATCATACATATGTTGAATATCATTAATCTGAGATCCAGTTACGATTTTTCCAGAAACGAATTTAGTCAAATCGTGATATGCCGCTAATAATTAAAAAAATATCGTTTTTGATACGAATTTCGATATTGGTTATTTTGTATCGATATATTGAATGAAAATATATATGGAAAAAAATATCGATATATCGAACAAAAAATATCGATATATCGATACGAATATTTGCAACAAGCCTATCCCGGTCCCAAATGACTAGCGACTCATTCGAGAAGTCTAATGTCTTTCGTGCACGTGAATACGGGCTAACGGCCAAGTGTAATTTAACCAAAAGTCAGATATCTCATCTGGACATTTTTTTTTATCTTATGATATCTCTTAATTATTTTATTTCACAGTTAGTTTTTTTATAAAATAGTTATAAAAGTAAAATAAATTCTTGTATACATATAAAATTCTCGTGTCACAATGTTAGTTACCATACTCCTCCGAAACGGCCTGACTGATTTTTATGAAATTTTATATGCATATTCTGTCGGTCTGAGAATCGGCTACTTTCTATTTTTCATATCCTTAAGTGATAATGGTTGTCCACCTGTAACGCAGTGTTCTGAAACCTACAATGCGCCTTCGCACCAAAATTCAAACTATTGGTTATTGTAACATAGTGTTCTCATATGGGTTAGGAGGAAATTGATAGAACACTACATTACACACCCCTAAATTTGTTTTTGGACATTTTTTTTTATAATGTGGTATTAAAAAATACATACAACCCTAAATTTTCTCTTCTACCACCTGCCCCTATTTTTATGACGGAACGAAGTTCGGTGTGTTAGCTAGTATAGTATAAAAAAACCTAACCTAGAAGGCCACCAGCAGCGGGACTAAGTCCAAGCTACTGGTGGTTAAGGCTGCAGAGAAAGAAACCGCCTGACGATGCGCGCCGTGTCCAGGAGTACTGCCTTTTGCATCTGCCCCTTGACCGAACCATCTAGCGAGAGGCTCTTTAGATGTTGGTCGAGACTTTTCGCTATGAGACTGTTCACACTAATGCAGTGTTTCCTAACCTTTCCAATACCCCAGCCCCCGGGGACGTATGGAATAGCGTCACCCCGGGACTGGGACTGACAAATAAATGAAACTAAATAAAGAAAACACAAACCAAATAACCCAAACCACTGTAATAAAGTGACTAAAACAGAATAATAAAAAAAAATACCTTTCCAATACTGCTACCCCTGTAACCTATCAGGAAAACAGATTTTACCCCGACTTTACATGTTATCATCAGTCCAAGAAATTCCAATTTGGCCGTTACATCTTCGTCTCTAATAATGTCATCATCAGGAGAAAATCTCGCCCCGCTTCCCAACACTCAGCACCCCGCGGGCTCGCTAGCAAGGAGGAGCGCATGCTCTATTTAGTAATATTATTATATAGTATTTTCTTATCATTTAGATTTGACCAAATAATTAGGTTTTTTGTTACCCCCGAAGTATGGCCGATTTACCCCCGGAGGGGTAATTGTGGGCCAAGTCCAGGTCTCGGGATTGTTACCATGTACCTTGTTTTCAGCGAGTTTCTGATGTTTCGGCACTATTGCAAGCGCCATGATCACGGAGTAACAGAAACTTGCTAAAACATGGTAAATGTTAAAAATCCCGTACATAAAATATATTACTATAATGATGAGGAGCTCGATGGCGCAGGTGGTTAGCGCGTTCGGCTGCGATAGTTGAAGTTAAGCAACTTTCGCAGTGGTCGGTCATTGGATGGGTGACCAAAAGTTTACTATCTCGAGCTCCTTCGTGCTTCGGAAGGCACGTTAAGCCGTTGGTCCCGGCTGCATCTGCAGTCGTTAGCACCCACCAATCCGCACTGGGCCCGTGTGGTGGGTCATAGCCCAATCTCCCTATTCCATCCATAGGGAAGGCCTGTGCCCCAGCAGTGGGGACATTAATAGGCTGATGATGATGATGATGACTATAATGTTAGTGACCATGAAAGTTTAAAAAAACTTACGTTTATTGTTATTATTGTTTCAGATGTCGGACACCACTCAGCTCACAAGATCCGTTCTCACAAAAACAGCAGGAGACATCGGGCTGCCGCTGCCAACGGTAATGATCCTCAGTACTATGTATTTAAGAAGCAATAAGCAGTGTGAATGTTTAGTTCAGTTATTCAGAAAGTTCCAGGGCCGAATTTAAGGCAGGGCTGTGGCCCAGGGGTCTCCACAACAGCTTAAGAAATAACAACATTTCGATGGGTCAACAAGCATACAAATCCTAAGTGGCCTGGGGTCTCCACAACAGGATAAAAGATAACAAAATTTCGATGGGTTAACAAGCATACAAATCCTAAGTGGCCCGGGGCCTCCACAATCCTAACTCCGGCCCTGGAAAGTTCGCAAAATCTTTAGGATTTATATTTAATGGGGTGCTCTCATATCCCTTCAACAGGTTCTGGCACTTATCGGCATTTTTTTCAATTTCCAATTTTGCAATTTTAGGGATTTCTATTGTATTAGGCATTCTTTCGCCGTAAAAATGCAACATTATTCCTGAGTAAATAAAGGAAATTTTATTAGTAAAAATTCCACGCGGACCAGGCCAGGGATTTTTTCTAGTAAAATTTTCTTTAGATTTAAACATCTAGCAGTTGAATGCTTAAAAAATAAAAATAAAGAAGTCAGTTATAAGCTTTAAAAGTAATTACGTTTTAATTTTCAAGCATTTAACTGCTAGATGTTTAAATCTAAAGAAAAGTTTAATAAAAAAAAACCACGCGGACCAGGCAGCAGACGGGACTCGAACCCGCATCCTTCGCTATCCGGGCGAATGCACTGACCATTATGCTACCGCTGCCCTGACGGCCTTTTTTGCCACCGGATTCTTTTCTAGTAAACTTTTTTTTAAAAAGTAATTTATCCTGTGCAAGGTCGGGGCGGGTCTCTATTTAATTGCTGAAATTAATTATTTTTTAGCTCAAACGAAATTCATTTAGTAACCCTGTCTGAATTCCATTATTTCTTTTTTATGTTAAAAATTTAAATTGGACCTCATTTATATGGCCCATTGGACCTATTTTAGGTGCCCATTGGAACTTGTGTTATTTCACTGTGATATTCTTAAAAGTAAAAGAAATAACGGTCTGGTACCCATTGGACCCTCAAGATTCGACCCGAAAGCAAAAAGTGTCCATTGGACCTCATTTATATGGCCCATTGGACCTTTTTAAAATTTTCATATTTAATGTGCCCATTGGACCTCTTTTTAGGTGCCCATTGGAGCTTGTGTTATTTCACTGTGATATTCTGTAAGGTGGAGGAGGTTACCTCCCCAGACGGGCGCTTCAATTCGAGCGAGAAATCCATATTCTAACACTCTTGTTGTCAGTGCCGTCTTTGACCTATTGGAGGCCCTGGGCATATTAGAATAATGGGGCCCCTATGCTATGACTTCCGTTTGGTGATTTAACAGGAACTAGGGACTTTGTATTTGATCTGAGGGGCCCCAATGATCGCGGGGCCCTGGGCACTTGCCCAAAGTGCCCACTGGGAAAAACGGGCCTGCTTGTGGTTTCTTGTTTGATAGTCAGCACGGTTTTACGACGTAACCAGCTGTGGGAACATATTGTTGTAGCTTTATCCGTCATAATGACGGTACTGGGATTAGATCGCTAATTAAATGTGTACCCAGAGAGCAATGCTGAACTGTAGTATGTGGGAAAATTTGGAACGTAAGCGGGTTCCATAAAATAATACGTATCTTGGGTTTGTTTATTTTATGGCTCAGTTAACTAAATAAAAGTTAAGTTTACTAGAAAGAATCCCATGCGGACCAGGCAGCAGAAGGCTAGAAAAAATTCGACACGGCCGTCAGGGCCGCGGTTTCATGATGGTCAGTGCATTCGCCCGGTTAGTGAAGGGTGCGGGTTCGAGTCCCGTCTGCTGCCTGGTTCGCGTGGAATTCTTTCTAGTAAACCTTTCCTTAGATTTAAACATCTAGCAGTTAAATGCTTAAAAAAAAAACAAATAAAAGTTTTCAATTGAATTAAAATGTTTTCTTGCAATATCTTACAATTATGTCATTTATTTGTAATGTTTTACTAATAAAATACAGCTTTCATTTTCTGTTCTTCATCTTTCATCTTTTATTGCGATGGAAACTTAAGATATTATTATTGTATAGTTATTTGTAAATGTCAATGAAACTGTTTAATAATGGACTTTTTTTAAAGCAAGCTTTTAGGAACATATTACCAGTTCTTTAAATATAGCTTTGTCCAACAATAAACACAGATGTTAAATTGCACAAATAGTATATTTATTCTTACAACGTTTGTTCCCAGCAATTTTGTGTAAATAAGGCGCCATCTAGTGTGTAGTAGTAGTACTAACAATATCCATATCTGTCCTCTTACTATTTTCATTCTTCAAGTAAAGCGCCATCTATTGTTCAGTAGCGGTACTAACACTGTCCTCTGTCCACAGCTGATGGAAAGCTTCGCTTTGAGCCAGAGCCATACAGCAAGAAGCTGGAGTTAAACAGCTCCGGAAAGATACACTGCAAGGTTGCCGGCGGTGTGTCGCCCACTGTACAATGGTATTTGGTAAGTGTTTTCGTTAAAATTAGGTAAATTAACAATATAACCGATTGAAAGTAACAATCTATTAACATCACATACAGCTTACACTCAAAATTCTTTTTTTTTTATTAAAATTGAAAGCATAATATAACTCTTTTGAATCGTCATTTTTTTTTTCTAATCTTAAGTTTGGTGACCCACTCCAAAATTTCAGGCTACTACCGTGCCTGCTTCACGGCTTTCAATTATGTTACAATATTTACAAAATATATTTTTGTTACACTGTCAATACAAAACACAACTTTAGTATCGTCGACAAGCATTGATTGCTGTCGTACAGTATAAATACAAATAATGTTATTTATATTAGGTATTTTTTTGTTACACTGTCAATACAAAACATAACTTCAGTATCGTCGACAAGCATTGATTGCTGTCGTACAGTATAAATACAAATAATGTTATTTATATTAGGTATAACTAGGTAACATCTTTGATAGCAACGTAGTTAGAGCAGAAATCTCTACTGGCAGCACCCGTTCACGAGCATGACGCATGAATCAGCCATCGCGTCGCTCAACAATATTTTAGGGAATATAACGATCTGCCTCACACGATACAACTGAAGAGATTTTTAAGAGGGCATGATTACCATAAGTATAAAAACATGAATAATACTGACAGTCACTACAATTTATTTTGTAGTTGTTACTACGTCTTTAAACTAAAGGTCAACTTATGGGTATTAGTTGAAGGACATCTGGCCGCCCTGGGCCATGGTCCTTTTGGCTGGGTTAAATACGCCTCTGCTATAAGTCGCGGTACGAAACTAGCGCTGAACGTTGTTGCGCAGAAGTAAAAATTAAGATGTGTTGGGGGAAAACGAGGTGTGCGGGCGGGCGTGCGTTGCGCCGATTGGCTCTCCAGTCGTACCCATGCGCAGCTATCCCCTCCGCGTTTTGCTCAGCGCTAGAGTTACGTGCCGTGACCTGTAACTGGCGATGTTAAGACAATCTGTTTATTGTTTTCAAGCCAACTAGATGGGAACGGACTTTTCAATCATTAATCTCAAGCTTAGTTTTCATAATTTATTTGTTTATTTGTATAAATGCGGTATAAACATAAATGTGACAATATTAGGTAAATACTGCACATTTACCATTTCTGGCATATAAATTATTTTACTTATAATCAAAAATTAATATATAAAAATATCAAAATATGTCATGCATGCCTACTTGTCAGTCGGAACAATTTAATATTAAAGAACAACAAAAGCTAATAAATTCAATAAACAATGGTGTAGATTCTGGTAGGATTCTTTAAACTTAAAATAAATATATCATCAGTCTGTCCTTTTCATTCTGCATAGAGAATGACAGGGATACACTGTTTTCAGATTTAAGTTGAGCTTTATAGAATCATGCAGAATCGACACCAATTCAATATTATAAATCGACTCTTTAATTATTCCACCATGTCAAATAATATTATTCATACAAACAATCTGCCATTGATTACTATGTTACTGGGTAGATAATAAACTATCTTTTCGTTAATTTATTCCCATGGTCTCAGATTACAGAACAAAACAAATGGCAGATAGAGCGCGCGGAACACGCAATGCGTGGCACCATAGCAAATATCAAAAGCAAATATCAATTCGCTTCAGTATACTACAACGCATCCCGTGAATATTAAATTTTTATCAAAACTGTGCCGCCTTGTTTAAACTTTGTAAAAACTGTTCAAAAAGACAAAAAAGTCTTTACTTTCGACTTTGTATTTGCTTCGGTGGCTGCACTTGCGTGTTCCGTGCGTTCCATCTACCGTTTTGTTTTTGTGCCGCCTTGTTCAAACATTGTTAAAACCGTTCACAAAGACAAAAAAGTCTTTACTTTCGACTTTGTATTTGCTTCGGTGGCTGCACTTGCGTGTTCCGTGCGTTCCATCTACCTTTTTGTTTTTGTGCCGCCTTGTTCAAACATTGTTAAAACCGTTCACAAAGACAAAAAGTCTTTATTTTCGACTTTGTATTTGCTTCGGTGGCTGCACTTGCGGGTTCCGTGCGTTCCATCTACCTTTTTGTTTTTGTGCCGCCTTATTTAAACTTTGTAACAACTGTTCACAAAGACAAAAAAGTCTTTACTTTTGACTTTGTATTTGCTTTGGTGGCTGCACTTGCGTGTTCCGTGCGTTCCATCTGCCTTTTGTGCTGTAATCTGAGCTCATGGTAATGTTTATTTCAGAATGACCAAGACCCCTTACCTGAAGGGGTGACGTCTGCCAACGGAACACTCGTTGTGGCAGAGGCAGCGCGACGTCATGCTGGACAGTACACCTGCAAGGCTGTCGACGGAGAAGACACCATCACTTCAAAGATCAACCTAGATGTCGTTGGTAAGGAAAAACTTAAATAGGAAATTTTGTTTTAATAAGAAAAAAAAAATTTTTTTGAAGCATGTAACTGCTCGATTTTTTAATATAAAGAAAATATTACTAGAAAAAAAGCCTTAATGAGGAAAGCGTACAAATACAGACTTCACCATCAGAAATATCATACATGTTGACGCATGAGTAAGAAGTTCTGCCTACAACGGAACGTCGCTCCATTTCTACCAGTAGATGCAGCTTTGACCCACGTGATCAAAAAATCCTCCTCTACTTTACACTCTCTACGCAATTCAAATTTTGTACGCTCAACTTTCTCTTTCGCAATTTTCTATTAATTTTATTTATTTGTAATTATATTCGCAATATACGCATTATTCAAGTAAACAACTGAGCTTTATTGAAGAGTACGCATAACGCCGATACACATGTTATTGAAGAGTAGTAGTTCCTTCTTCTTCTGGCACAGGTGTTTAAGTTTACCACTTAAATGTTTGTGACAAATAAAACTGCTATAAGATTAACTCTTTTAGATTTTGTAATACGTTTTCTCTGGTCTTCCCGTAGTGTCACCCCGCGTCATAGAACCCTCGCAAGGGGAGCAGCGTCACGCTCGCGTTGGATCGCAAATAGTTCTCAACTGCCGCGCTACAGGAGACCCTTTGCCCGCTACCCAGTGGGATAGAAACAGAACGATGCTGAAACTACACCGTGAGTTGAAAACCCTTGTTTACTATCATAGCTACCACACCACAGATCAAAGAAAGAAGTGAGAAAGGCTTTGTGGGCGGGACAGGCGAGCAAATCCTGCATCTGCGCGCTGCCCGCATCATTGGCGATGAAGAGGTAACTAACGAACTCGAGTCTCTACAATTACGCCGCGATGTGACATCATTTAGCGCATTCTACCGACTATACCCACGGCGAGTGTTCTGAGGAGCTATTCTCCCTTATCCCTCCATTACGTTTTCTTCAGAGGACCACACGCGCTGGCCTACGTTGCCACCGATTTACTGTGGCCACTAGGAATAGTGGCCACACGAACAAATAAATTTGGTGACTCATTTCTTTATCGTACTATTCGTAAGTGGAATTTTAGCCCGCGTACGTGCTGTAGCATTTTTGCATGCCGGCAAGGTGAGGATGGTTGGTGTGGTAGTTTATAACTGCTGTACCAGCTATCTTCGCGTTTGGACTTTATCACCACTTAACATCAGGTGGGGTAGAGTCCGCCTTTTTAATTTTTTAAATACCTGGCTCTAAATAAAATCCTTATAACTTGACCAAAACTTGGTTCTGATTGCGTCGTTGCATCCGAGAGCAACGGGACCTCGAGAGCGTTGATTGGTTCGATTGTTTGATGTCGCGTCGTTTGATTGAGCCGGCGACATCGGTACCCGTACAACCGGTCTATTTTCACCTTTCTTTCTGTTTTCTGTGATAGCTACTATAATCATATCATAGGTACTATCGCGGAATTTTGCGCTCTGTCACTTGGCGAACAAAATGCTTTGAACGGTTTTCTACAGTAGTTTTTACTACGCCCCGCTTTCGCGTCGGACGCGCCAATCCGGGCCGCCGCACAAAAGTAAGACAGAGAGCATTTCATTGATTGAATAATGAATTGAATTGCATTTGTTTTAGTTGCAATTTGTCATCCGCATCGTGATCGCGGCAGCGCTATACGAAAAAGTAAGACAGCGATAATTACATATCTATGAATGAATTTTTACTACGCCGCTACCGCAAGCGATTATGGCATTATGGGTGACAGAGCGGGTCTTTAAGCGAGTATACTATAAAAGACGCAATTGGTTGGACGAATAGTTTGCGAGTGTGAAATGTCATTATCAAATGCGTACTGAATTTTAGTTCTGTGTTACGTTCACTGTAGTGCTGCTGTTCAAGTTTCCATATAAGGCATTGATATTTCGTACTTGCCCACTATTCGAATTCGTTCTATTTTATACGTCAAATGTGTACTGATTTTTAGTTCTCGTTACGTCCGTTGTGGCGCTGCTGTTCAAGATTCCATATAAAATGTGTCAATGACATTTCACACTCGCAAACTATTCTCGAATTTGGTTTTGGTTCGTGCTAAGGGTACAGGGGGCCCGTTCGCTCGTCTGCCTTCGAAGGCAATAAAAAAATTCTACTTATAGCTGCAATTTTACTTTAAAATTGGGCAGGATAAAATGGTTTAAGTACCGAAAGTAACTTTAAGGACTTTTAGTATCCATTTATAAAGTTTCCCGTCCGCGTCTACTTTAGAAAAAAATTAATAAGTATCCTATGTCTCAATCCAGGTAATAAACTATATATGTGCCAAATTTCACCCAAAACCCTTCAGCCGTTTTTACGCAATTGAGTAACAAACATAGAAACTCACATTTGTAATGTTAGTTAGGTTTAAGGTTTGCAGCCAAACATGAAAAGTGTTTCTATAAACCCTATCTATATTACAGTTTTGTCTAAAGAGAAATCATTTTTTTTCAGAAGACGGCGTCGACGCCGAGGACGCGGTCAATGCATCGACGGCAAGGTAAGCATTTTATTTAATAAGGCTTAAGAATAATAAATACCTAAACGAATAATAATAATAATTTATATTTGCAACTAGCGACCGCCCGCGACTTCGTCCGCGTTAACTTTTAGTTTTTTTTTCTAAAATAAAATATTTTTTCTAAAATAAAAGTAGCCTAAGTTACTCCTTATCACATCAGCTACCTGCCAATAAAAGTCCCGTCAAAATCGGTGCAGCCATTTCAGAGTTTAGCCGGAACAAACAAACAGACAGACAGACAAAAATTGTTAAAAAAAAAATTTTGGTGTATGTACCGTATATATATTTATATGCATGTAGTAAAAAGCGGTTATTTCAATATTACAAACAGACACTCCAATTGAATTTATATGTATGTTTAGATAAATTACACGTACTTACATGGTAAAATTCTTATAAGACTACTAGCGGACCCGACAGACGTTGTCCTGTCTACACGTCTTTAATTTGAAAATTTCAAACTTTTTTTAATAAGCTAAAACATTCTGGACCATTTTGATGAAAATTACCACGGAAAATTACCATTCTCAGATCCCCTTGAACACACACAAAAAATTTCATCAAAATCGGTCCAGTCGTTTAAGAGAAGTTCAGTGACATACACACTCACAGAAGAATTATATATATAAAGATTTGACACTGCGATGGTAGCGCCGTCTGTCGGATCCAATGTAAAACATACCAAAATCAACAACTACTAATAAATTAAAAATTAATTAAAAAAACATTGTCCAGCGGACAAAATTGTGAATCTAAACCATTCTCAGATCCCCTTGAACACACACAAAAAATTTCATCAAAATCGGTCCAGTCGTTTAAGAGAAGTTCAGTGACATACACACTCACAGAAGAATTATATATATAAAGATTTACACTCAGGCCCGTATTACAGAATGACAACTAAGTGTTGATCTTTACTTGAGTACAGTTAGAAAGGGATGTCGCTCTGTATAGCACATAGCGCCATCCCTTTCTAACTGTGCTCAAGTAAAGATCGAGACTTAGTTGTCATTCTGTAATACGGGCCTAAGGCTAATATTTTACATAAAATATTAAATGACATCTTCAGCCAAACTAGGAAGATCAGTTCGGTTAGGAATAACAGTTATAAGATTTTAATGTACTTTGTAGCTTTGTAGTTAAGATGGTTAAGACCGACTTGAATTCTGTTTTACAGTATCTTTAAAATTATACTCTAGTAGATGTTTAAAAATGAAATAATTTTTGGCTTAAAATAGAGTATTTGACAGTATTAAAAATAATGTGCCAATTGTTAGCATCTGTATTTAGAATGCATATTGGCAGGAGTTGTTACTATTTTTACAAAAAAAATATTCATAATTTTACTAAAAACCCACAATAAAGGTAATAGTTTTCTTGTCTTTTGTCACGTGACCCAAATCGCTTGGGATTGGTGGAGCCTAAAATTACGTCACACGCAAGTAAATTTCCGGTTAAAGTGATATTAGATTGTATGGTTTGACGTTTTAATGACAGTCGTGTGACGTCACACACCAGTGAGACGCAATATTGGCCAGAGATACGTTTTTCGCGGCAACTGGAAAATAGAGATTTTGATTTAATTTTTTTACCGAAATACGCAACATAATGATGAATATCCACTTTTTATTGACTCTATAAACATTAGTAAATAACGTGAGATCGTTTTCTAAAACTTGTCAAATACCCTATTCATTCTTTTCTCTATTTATGACTAATGAATAAAATTTTGGCCCTTCGAGCCGGATCTGATCTAGCCACCTTCAGACATACATTTAGCTTCTCATTTTCAATACAAGTGTTTCAGATTTACTGTTTTAAACTTTCTTGGTCACTAGCATTATAGTAATTTACCTAACTAGCCTACCAACTTTGTTTTCTACTTGGGGCCCGTTCAAGTATTACTTAAGCACTATAGGGGGGCAAATCCCACCAACCACCCATGGCCTGGCGAACCTTCTTGGTTATGCAGGCCGAAGCAGCGGGAGATACGCGCGGAATGGCCTCCACCGCGCGTACTTTCTTGACTCCCTACAAATTATTCTTTATCTATCTCCTTGTCCCTATGGTCCCTCTCCCCTTTCTGGGGCGGACGTACTCGAAACGCCTTCGTCGCAATCCCAGTCGTCCCGTGCCCACTCTGAAGTGGTACCGCTGGCTCCAAATTGTACGGTCCTCTCTTCTTTCTTCGCCTCGGGTCTTCTTTCTTCACCTCTCGAGTCCACTCCGAATCCTGTGCCATCTACGCGCGAAATCCCGCAGCTGCCTGAAGTTCGCCTCCGATCCCACAAGGTCGCAATAGTAGACCGGCCCAACCTCGAGTACCTTCACACTGTCCAGAAGTTCCCTACGCGCCTCCCCGTAGAGCTTACACTCCCACAGAGCGTGGTATGCGTCCTCTACTTCTCCCTCCCCACGGTAGCACGACCCCACCTCCGCGAGCTTCATTCGGTGAAGCCTACCCCTGAAACAACCATGTCCTGTCAACAATTGCGAGGTTTCATAGTCAGGCTCGACCCAAATGGCCTTGAGTCGGGCCTCCACTCCCGGGAAAAACCGATACAACTCCCTCCCCTGGTCCGATGCATCCCAACACCCCTGCCATTCGGCAAAGACGGACTCAGTGAATGAATATAGGTACCGATGTTTACGTAAGCATGTGGGGGGGGGGGGGGAAGAGTTTTGCTCACTTTTGCTGACAAGGGGGAGGAGGGGGTAAATAATTGTAATAAATCTGCTTACGTAATACTTGAACGGCTCCCTTGAAAAAGTGCCAAAGTCGGGGACTCGTAAAAGCACTATCACTTATTACACAAATCATTATAAAGTCGCAGATTTCTTCGTATACGCATACATTTTGCTTGATATAATGCAACGCAATACCCTCACTTATCGCCGAAACACTACATTTTTGCAGTGAAACTTCTTTACGCACTCTTGACTTGGAGGGTCAGCTAGCCAATGCGTAACGCGTTACGAAAAGTGTGTTCGGGCGAGTCGAACGGGAGTTGAGTGGGGGATATAAGCAAGGGAAAGCAGCTAATAAATTAAATATGTATATGTACAATATCATCATCAGTCTATTAATGTCCCCACTGCTGGGGCACAGGCCTTCCCTATGGATGCAATAGGGAGATTGGGCCATGACCCACCACGCGGGCCCAGTGCGAATTGGTGGGTGCTAACGACTGTAGATGCAGCCGGGACCAACGGTTTAACGTGCCTTCCGAAGCACGGAAGAACTCGAGATAGAAGATTTTCGGTCACCCATCCAATGAACGACCACTGCGAAAGTTGCTTAACTTCAACGATCGCAGCTGAACGCGCTAACTACCCGCGCCATCGAGCTTATATGTACATACATGTATATATTGTACACACATATAAGTATACATATACATACATATGGAGCTAAAGAAGTTTCGCTTCAGTCGTGTGGTCATAAGCAAACTGGTTCTTTTTTTCATGGTTTTGTCCTCATTTCATTACCTAGGGTACTAGTCCTCAACAACGGAACACTTTTAATCCGCAACGCGACGGAACAGGACTCTGACCGTTACGGCTGCATCGCCGGGAACGCAGCCGGACTCGCGAGGAACGAGTTACTATTGATAGTTCATCCTGGTAAGTCAGACAGTCGATAAACAGAAGGATATAATGTTTTTAAGCTATTGTACAGCTTTTATCGCGGGCTTTGAGCGCGGCGACCGAATCAAGAAATTCCGTAAGAGAGTGCATATACCAATAGAACACCATTTTCGCCATTCCAGTATCAATTTAAATGGCGCAGTGTATTAAATCTTTGCCACGGTACCAACGTTCGATGCATATCACTGCGGTCGTCGGTTCAAATCCTGCACTCGTATTTTTAATTTTTTATTATTATTTTTGTCCCTTTTTTTATGAATAGGTTCGACAAATAACTCCACTCCACTTAATTCTATCTTTATATCTGTCCCCTATTAAACACACAGATTCAGCAGTAGTCAAAGAAGGTTGATTATTTTAAGCTTGTAAACACTTTTTCCACTGTACTCCACTGTCACTTAAAATCAAAGCCCCAAGCACGAATTTTTACAGCTCCGTAATCGTATTGCATCGTATCGTATTATGCATAAGAATCTAGCAAACGGGCTTTAAGAGGATTTGAGCCTGGGGTTCGTAACGCAGGTTTTGTAACCTAGTACAATCTCCAGCTCTCTTAAAGAACTGCATTGTTTTTACTGTTTTTGTCATTCAATACCCTTTTTTATTAATTATAATCTTACTTTGTGACTTAGTGAGAGAAAATAATTCTTTCAATCACTCATTCATCGTCTCGGACATTAAAGAAAGACTCACCCTAACAGTCCCGCATATCAAGACCCACCGGAGAAAGTTCCATTAAACAAAGTGATTTATTTACATCCTCATTCATTAATCAATAATTCATTTATAATCATATTTTTTTTGATCTTTCTGTAGCGTCAGTGTGGACTTTATATCTAGAACACACAGAGCTCACAATATACAGCTGACGCACATTAATATTAATTAAGAAAATTAGTGTATTAGATATAAATATTAATAAACTATTATCTAATACTCTTAGTCCCGTATTACACAATGACAAGTAAGTGTTGATCTTTACTTGAGTACAGTTAGAAAGGGATGTCGCTATGTGCTATATATAGCGACATCCCTTTCTAACTATGTTCAAGACTAGATCAATCACTGAGAATCTTTCTATAATACGGGCCTTAGTTGTCAAGTCGAGTGAAACACTACCTCTTTGATTTCTCATCTCGATACCAGGAGCTAAATTTCATTTATGCTATATCTGCTCGGAAAGTGCTTTTTTCTTTTATTAAAAATGAAGCAGAAAGGACTCCATTACTGTTGTACTAGTAAGCGGGTTGGAAAAGTGTATGGGAATCCATTGTTAACGCGCTGAGCGGGCAGTAAAAGTCTATGAAAATTCATTGTTAAACGTACTTAAACGTACTCTTTTATTTTTATGTTTCGTGTGCAAGTGCAAAAAAGCAAGTGGTCAGTTATATTTTTTTAACATTATGCTTAGTATTTGCTTTCTGACCATTTTTTGTTTTGAAAAATTAATAATAAGTAAAAAGCGCACTCATTATTTTATTTCTCCCTGTTTTTTTTATTTTTTTTTTATGGATAGGTCCGACAAATGACTCCACCCCACCTGATGTTAAGTGATGGTGAAGTCCGGACGTGAAGATAGCTGATACAGCAGTTCTACCTGCCACACCAGCCATCCTCACCTTGCCGGCCTGCATGTTGCTTCTTCACGCCTCTTTTAAAGGATATATTACTGATAATGAAGATCTAAAATTCAATTAAAGAATTTGTCTTTTATTTCCTCGTAGGCACGAGTATAAAATTACTATGTATCCCTCGAAAGAAAGTGCTATTCAAAACTCGGGTGAATTAAAACTACACCCTCGTTGGTAATAGGTCAGTTTCTCCCCTCGGTGAACAATGTACTAATACCCTTCCATCTATTCGCAGAGGACGAAATGCCCACTTCCGAATCATCAGGCGTTGGCGGCAAGGCTGTCGTAGTCTCCATATCAGTAGCCGGTGCTTATATGTTGCTGGTTTTGGCGTTAATGCTTTACTGCAGAAGGAGACGGCTGAATAGGAGGCAGAGGGGTGAGTGTTATCCAAACACTTAATTAAATATCATCATCAGCCTCTTTGTGTCCCCACTGCTGGGGCACAAGCCTTCCCTATGGATGGATTAGGGAGATTGGGCCAAGACCCACCACGCGGGCCCAGTGCGGATTGGCGAGTGCTAACGATTGCAGATGCAACCGGGACCAACGGGTTAACGTGCCTTCTGAAGCACGGAGGAACTCGAGATAGAAATTTTTTGTCACCCATCCAATGACCGACCACTGAGTAAGTTGCTTAACTACAACTATCGCAGCCGAACGCGCTTACCACCTGCTCCATCGAGCTCCTCAATTATGAAAAATCAAATATGATGAAACATATCTAGAAGAATCTTTGAACTATATAATTATCTGTTACTGCGTGATTGAAGAAGTTACTCCATCAATGTGAAAGTTTGTATGTTTGTTTGACCAATTATTATATTAATATTTATTTATATTTCTCTCACAGTATAGTTTACAATATATTAGTCTATTAAACTATTATAGTGTAAAAGAATATTTATGTAATGATTGTAGCTAGTGACAGTATACTTTTATGATTTGTTTTCTGCACTTGATTGACTTTTTTATTATTAATTGACTAATTTATTTTGTAAGCTCATGTGGTTTTTAAGGCTTAATGTAAATTAATAATATTAATGTAATTAATGCAATGTTTGCATGCTATTTTTAAATGGCAGAATGGGCCGAACTTTGTATTTGTAACATCTCAAGTGTACCCCTATTCTAATGCAAATAAATGAATTCTAAACATCTTATCCTAGTACATGTGAAAAACTGGTGACAAAAGTAGGTTTCAAAAGAAACCTGATACAAGTCGCCAGAGTCACATTTTCTACACCTAGAGTAGAAAATGTGGAGAAAATGAATTACAATCGAACGGACATCTTAAAATATGTAAAAATTACATAACTAAAAATATTATGCTGAAAAATCCAGTGACGTATACGTATGTAATACTATTATTATAATACTACATTGAAAGATGATGATTACATTGTATAGAACTGGAATATTATAATAAATCCCTTGCTGATTTGATTAGGCTTGCTTGATTAAAGTAATGTGTGTGTGCGTGCGTGTATGTGTGTATGAGTGTGGATGACAAATTTTGTACCTAAGTGGAGTGAAAGGATGCATTGTTTTGTTTGACAAATATTCAAAGAAAATGTGTTTGAGAGACATACTCAACTAATAATAATTTATTGTTTGCAACTAAAAAAAATACAATCTTTCATGTTTATAATATTTACAGCTTGTAGTTTGCAGGTACTTGATATTTTTCCCCTTTTATGGATTTTTAATATATTATTTTTACATTTTAATATTTAAATTAGAAAAGCTTAAAAATTAATATTGTCTAAAAACTTAAAAATAATTAACTTGCCTTCGCAAAGTCAAATAGTCAAAAAATCTTCAACTTATTTGTATCTATCAATTACCTCTATCTTAATCTCCACATTAAATCTATCCCGTTCTCCAGGTGAGAAAGAAGAATTAGAAATGGCCGAAGGTCGCGAGAAGCTGGTGGAAGAAGAAGACAAGAAAGTTGGCAACGGGGCACCCGCGCCCAACGGACGCCTGTTGCCCCACGACAGAGACAGCGGTATGTACTTGTCTCACTTTCTGCGACAATAATAGTCCAGTCAGTGAACGCTTAAATCAGCTACAAACTCCGATTTCGTTGAAACTCCATCGATTTTCATTTGAAACATTGAATGAACATAATTAAGAAATGATTTTATTTAACTTAGATGAAACATCATTAATGTCATATTGAAGCTAGAAACAAAATAAATTATGGATGTTAAATGTTTCATCCAATTGTGTCATTTATAAAATTTTCCTTTTTGGTTTTGTTAAGCTAGGCAAAGCGCAAGGTATACTATACGGTATCGCAAGTACACCAACAGGTTTTGATTATATACCCTCCAACAAACCCAACTAACTGCACGGAAGCGCCGAAGAAACTATCTACTAAATATGGTAGATACGCTCATCGCTGCACACGCACACATTGACTGGTTTCCAACAATCTGACATTAGATTAGAGTCACGCATGCATTGAACGTGACATAAGCCGTATTTGCGTGATTTATTTGGATTGCGCTATCTAGGAGTGTAGGTATATTATCAAGGCCATCAGGCGTGCTGGGGCATAGGCATTCTCTATGGATGGAATAGGGAGATTGGGCCATGACCCACCACGTGGGCCCAGTGCGGATTGGCGGGTGTTAACGACTGCAGATGCAGCCGGGACCAACGGCTTAACGTGCCTTCCGAAGCACGGAGGAACTCGAGATAGAAGATTTTCGGTCACCCATCCAATGACCGACCACTACGAAAGTTGCTTAATTTCAACGATCGCAGCCGAAAGCGCTAACCACCTGCGCTATCAAGCTCCTCTTTTCACCCTATTCGCAACAAAATTTTAATAAACGTTAAAGGCAAATGTTAGTATGATGAATATATGCATTTGTACCTTAGTCATGGATGTTTATATTTATTTCTAGATAAAATATACTAATATATGTATTAGCGGTGGGTCGTTCTCAAATTTTATGACGACGAAACGCAACCGTTTTTTCTTAAACGAAAACTAGTCCTCGAAACGGTTCTCGTTCGCAAGTGGTTTTGGTTGCGGCTGTGTGACGAAACGACACGCGACGGTCGAACGAATGTAACGCAACGAAACTGAACTAAATGAAATCTTGTTAACTTCGTTTCGTTGCTGCGAACGAGACGACGAAACATCGAAATAAATGTTGTGTTATACGATAATCGACTTTAAATGTTCAATAATAAAGATTATATTATTGTAAAATCAAAGCTTCGTTATCATAGAACGAAACGGCCTCATATCATTGCGTTCTATTATAGACTGTATTTTCTTCATCATAAAGTACAATCCGAGGACTAGTTGTTCGACGAAGACTGTTTTGATCCGAAACGTAAAACGGTTCTATCGTCGCGGAACACAAAACGGTCCTTGAAACCGGTTCGTCTTTAGAACGCTCACACCTAATATGTATCATATAATGTATTCTATCGGTTTCCCTAGCATCCTATTACACAAGCCTTACAGTGCTTACTTTGGGACTAGGCTAATTGGTGTGAGTGTGGGGAATATTTACATTTATATATTTGATATGAACCTTTGTTTTAGGCGCTGATAATTCCGAAGTGTCTGCAATATCGAGAGCTTCGAAGAAATCTGGACAATACGACCATCTCGCTGTGCCTAGAAGTTTGTTGGTCGACCAGATTACTTTAGGTAAGTATTGGTTGTGGTTTTTTGCAAAAAGCTATTTAACAATATAGAAAAATATATTAATTTTGGTCTCTGACATGAATATTGGGAGCAAATTCAGTATTTTGACAAAAAAACGAGCGAGCCTTACAGTAGTCGCGTATGATGTGTAACATTTGAAACCTCACCTTATATTAGTAAAAAAAGAAATAAAACCTACTACAAAAGGAATAAGTCATTTGAACATTAAATCAAATCAAATAGCGCGCGCTTTTGCGACTTCCTGTTACACACTTCCGTCCCAATTCACGAAATCACTCCCACAAATTGCAGGAAAGCGAGAGGAAAGATGTTACACACCAATAAAATTGTAAGAAAGACGTTCGTCGATAATTTAATAATTGAAGAAAAATGTCGTTATTTACGCAACTCAATACTAAATTATGTAATATATTTTTCTCACCTTAGCCACATTGGAGATTCTCTTCTGTATGTGTTGTATTAAGGTAACAAATTATACTTAATAACTATTTTCAGGGCGAGGAGAGTTCGGCGAAGTATCTCTTGCCAAAATAGATTTGTGCCAAGTGAAGAAATTGCGGAATAAAGATTACGCCGAGACAGAACCTAAAATGGCGCACGTGCTTGTGAAGGCGTTGACTTCTAAAGACGAGGTAATATATATTATAGTTAGTTTTAGTTAGTAGTTTATTGATAAATTTATTTGTTATGACAATAATCTTCTTATATATAAAATTCTCGTGTCACAATGTTAGTTACCATACTCCTCCGAAACGGCTTGACCGATTTTTATGAAATTCTATTTATTTGTTTCTTAGGTTTTCACGCACATCACTCATTAAATAAAACTAGTTTTTACAGGTTAATGCACGAAACTTTATTTATTTATTGACGTTTCGTAGCCTTTACAGGATACGTCGTCAGAATTAAACTTTTATTATAAAAGTAAATAAAATAAATAAATAAAGTTTCGTGCTTTAACCCGTAAAAACTAGAAATTCTATTTGTTTATTCAGTAGGTCTGAGAATCGGCTACTATCTATTTTTCATCCCCTAAATGTTAAGGGTAAATATTTAATACCCTTAAATATTTTTTCATTATTTTTTTTGTTTTTATTTTTTATGATACATCATACAAAAATACATACAACCCTAAATTTTGACCCTTCTACCACTAACCCCTATTTTTTTTATGGCGTTACGAAGTTCGCTGGGACAACTAGTAATATATATAAATTACGCGTCACGTTGTTTGTCTGGGATGGACTCCGAATCTATTTAACCGATTATAATCAAATTTGCACACCGTGTGCACTTTGATCCAACTTGAAAGATATTGCTAACAGTGCATTCAGAATTACGGTATACAGGCGGTGAGAAATAAAAATATATATTCTTCCACCTATAGCGACAAGTCGTGAAAAATTTTACGAGCTTGCATTTCAAACTATCATAACACTCTAACGTATGCGTTTAAATTAAGTCCTTATTTACTACGTATTATTGGTGAATTTAAATATTTAAATAATGCCTTATATGGGGCTTTGTGGGTCGTTCAATGTACCTTTTGGACATGTTTCGATCACAATATTGTATGTTGTGTGGTCGTTAATATCGTTGCTTTCTATATACGATAGAATAAGACAAAACGTGACTTTATTTAGCATTAAAGTGATTTGACGTCTCTAAGTTAAAGTAATTTTATGAATTATCTTTGTGTTCTTACCTTAGGTCCTACTGGCCGAGTTTCGTAGACAATTAGAGTTGTTCACTAGAGTCCGCCACGAGAATATAGCTCGTCTAATCGGACTCTGCAACGAGATGGAACCGCATTGTATGCTGTTGGAACACACTGATTGGGTAAGTCTAAAATTACTTGATAAAATAATAAAAAATGCGCCCAAATCTATCAAGAAAAAATATAAAAAATGGGTACAACCTCCCTCTTCCATCCATTTAATAGTCCGTCGCAATAATAATAATACTAATCTTTATTTCTGAACTATATCACGTATACAATATAACAATTTAGCGTTAACAACCGTAGTAGTCTAAGACTGTGTTACAGTTATTAGCGCCCACCTCAAAAGATAGGCACATTACAGACATGATTAGAAATAAGCAATAGGGATATGGCGATAAAAGAAGTCTGCAACGAGGAAGAACCGTAGTGTATGCTGTTGTGTATGAACACACTGATTGGGTAAATCTAAATTACTTGAGAAACATGGTAAAAGATTGGTCCAATCTACCAATTCCATCCATTTAAAAGTCCGTTGCAATAGCAGTAGAGATATGGCGATAAGAAGTCTAAAACGAAATGGAACCGCATTGTGTGCTTTTGGAACAGACTGATTGGGTTAGTCTAAATTACTTGAGAAAATGGTCAAAGATTGGTCCAATCTCTCAATTTCATCCATTTAAAAGGCCGTAGCAATAACAGTAGGGATATGGCGATGTGAAAAAAGTCTATAACGAGATGGAATCTGGAACACTGATTGGGTAGGTCCGGTCCTTCAATTCATAGAAAAAACTGAGAAATTAATGAGAGTGTTCTAGAGTGCCATACAATTCCTGTAATGTAAGGAATTGATCTCCAGGGCGACCTAAAGAGTTTCTTCATAGACAATTGCTGGCACCCGTTAGTATGAAATAAAATGGTTGTACAAATAATAATAAAAAAAAATGGGTGCGTGTACTTATGTAGGCGCGTGAGAAGTTATCCTTCTTTGGCATCGTTTAAAATTAGTTTTTAATTGCATGCAAATAATTAATTACAATTAATTAATAAAAAGTGTGGAAAAGGACACAGTCAATAAAGTTCAGTTTTAATTTGAAAAAATAAATAAATAATCAAAATATTCAATTAAAATCGCTACTGAATATAATTTATTAAAACATATGTGATTTGCACTTGTATGAAACTCAAACACGTATTCCGAATATACAAACTAAAAACATGTGGATAAATATTATAAATATGAATACCTATAACTGTTACTTTATTACAAAAAATAAAGATGTGGTTTTTGGTTCTACTACAACAATGGTCATGAGATGGCGCTGTAGTCTCCTGAATCGCGCTTTGGTTCCGTTGTTCCAGATTAATAAATACTTTTGATATTATAAATATGAATACCTATAACTGTTACTTTATTACAAAAAATAAAGATGTGGTTTTTGGTTCTACTACACCAATGGTCAAGAGATGGCGCTGTAGTCTCCTGAATCGCGCTTTGGTTCCGTTGTTCCAGATTAATAAATACTTTTGATAGGCCTTCACAATGCAGTCGTTAGCACCCACTAAATAGAGATTCTATTTCTATTTTGTTGGTAGATTTTCTTAATGTGTGGTAAACACAAAAGTAACGCATGCGACCAACTTCATGCTGTTAAAATTTTGTGTTACAGTGATGCGCGCGCATCTTAAAATTTCACTCTCATCATTTTTTCATAACGCGCCTAAAGAAGTATAACTTCAATAAATATTTCTAACACCCACTAATTAGCCTAGCCCCAAAGTAAGCATTGCAGGCTTTTGTTAAGGGATACAGGGTAACGGACAGAATACATACATACAAATCCTTTACATTTATCTAATGTCATATAATGTAATTTAATGTTCATATAAAAAAACTAAAATGTAACGAAATTTATGAATATTCATCTAAGTACCTACTTGTACAATTGAAAATTTACAGATTAAAGATTAAATAGAAAAATAAGAAAAAGAAAAATACATTAAGATATTAAATTAAAACTACACTACAACTAGACAAAGAATAAAATTATGTTATTGAAGACTTCTGTGGTCGAGTGGTCTAGAAGTCCCGGGTTCGAATCCCGGTGGTTGCAGATGTTTGTGTGATGAATACGAGCATTTGTACTTCAGTCATGGATGTTTAATATGTATTTATATATAAATATACTTATATATGTACTGTATATGTATTTTATTCGTTACCCTAGCATCCCATAACACAGGCCTTACAGTGCTTCCTTTGGGGCTAGGCTAATTGGTGTGAGTGTTGGAAATATTTATTTATTTATGTAATGATAAAAAAATAGCTGCCCTAAGTCTTCCCCGTCGGCAAAGGTTCCCAGGATGGGAAAATTGGAAGACCTTCCTGAGAAGAACCGGCGAAACAAACTCAAGATAGAAAGCCTCTCTTGAGTTTGTTTCGCCGGTTCTTCTCAGGAAGGTCTCCCAATTTTGGAACCGGTGGTAGTTTACGGTAGTTAGGGTCAAATAAATAAAGTTTCGTGCATTAACCCGTAAAAACTAGTTTTATTTGTCTTTAAAAAGTTAACATTTCTCTTAATTTATTTTTCATTAATTTATTTTTCATAAATTTATTTAATTGTTGTTGTTCAATTATAGACAATTATCAAAATTTTATAAGATTTAATTGCTAGTTAAGTGTAAATTGCATGTCGTAATCGCCTATAGTTAAAGTTCCACTAATAAAGTGTCGCACTATAAATGTGTAAATAAGAAATGTCTAAGTGTAACTTTGTTGGTGATCAAATAAATAAATTAATTAATTTCCACCATCAGGGCGACTTAAAGAGTTTCCTGATAGCTACTCGAACGGAAGAAGAGAACGCGGAATACCTCACCAGAGTGGGCACACATCTAGTGCCCGCCGCTACCCGCAGTGTCCCACCTCTAGCGGCCTTACATCGGGCTCTGTTAGCTTCAAGACTCGCGCATGCTGCTTCACGATTGGCCTCGCACCGGCTTACTCATAGGTATGTTATTAGTTTCTTCAAAAATTAAAAAAAAAAAACAAAATTCAATATCGTTTATTCAGTCTAGGCTGTTACAAGCACTTGTGAATGTCGAAAAGCTACGCCATCGGTTCGCAAATCTACGGCGGGAGACCTTGTACTGAGAAGGACCGGCAAGAAACTCAGCAAGGGCTGTTTTTTTCTCACTGTATTATATACAGAGTCATCAAATTGAAAAATGACTTTAATATGAGGTAACTCATAAAGTCTTAATTTTCCTTAGGTTTTCACGCACATCACTCTTTAAATAAAAACAAGTTTCAACGGTATAGATGCAATGATTTTATTTATTTAAACAACGTTTAACATCCCATAAAGGACTGAAGTCGTCTGAATAATGATTTTATTTACTTTTGTCGAGCTAACTTCGAAAGACTTATTGAGCGCTCGGATATTTCATTGGAAGATTTTTAAAACTTTATTGTTTAGGTATGAATTTATTAGCTGATTTAATTCTATTTTTATAATTTTGAGTTTATTTATTTGACCCTAACTACCGTAAACTACCACCAGTTCGAAAATGGGAGACCTTTCTGAGAACCACCAATCCGCACTGGATCCGTTATCACCCACCAATCCGCGCTGGGTCCGTTATAACCCACCAAGCACTAGATTCATGTATTTTGTGACGGGTTATGTTCATTGTTTACCGATGAGTCACCGGTGCACGAGTAACGCAAAAATCGTCACACATTCTCCAGTTTACCCCCCAAGTCAAACGTGCCTAAAGAAGTTTCACCTCAAAAATATTTAATTATACTATAAATTATTGTTACAGAGACATAGCGGCTCGAAACTGCGTAATCACGTAATATGTATTTCTATATAAATATACTTATATATGTACTGTATATGTATTTTATTCGTTACCCTAGCATCCCATAACACAGGCCTTACAGTGCTTACTTTGGGGCTAGGCTAATTGGTGTGTGTGTTGGAAATATTTATTTATTTATGTAATGATAAAAAAATAGCTGCCCTAAGTCTTCCCCGTCGGCAAAGGTTCCCAGGATGGTAGCGGTATTTCCCCGCTGAATGGCGAGGGTTATGCGCTAGGCGAAATAGCCGCCAGCTTTGCGGTCTCCAGTGGTCTCCACCAATATCTGCGCATTTTTTTTTTACTTTAAATGTCTTTAAAAAGTTAACATTTCTCTTAATTTATTTTTCATTAATTTATTTTTCATAAATTTATTTAATTGTTACTATAAATTATTGTTACAGAGACATAGCGGCTCGAAACTGCGTAATCACGTCAGCTCTCACTTTGAAGTTATCGTTCCCCGCGCTAACCAGAGGACCCAACTCTCACGAATATTATAAACATCATGACCAGGTTTGTAAAAACGAACTTATTAATTAATTACTTATAATGTGTCCGTAGTAAAACGTTCTTCCGGTTATGTCCATAATAAAATAGTGTTGCCAGGTCCGATTATTAAAAATCGGGAGGCTTTATAGAAAAAAGCAGAAGTTGTATGGCAGATGCGTACTCCCCCCCCCCCTCCCCCCCCATAAGCCGGTAATTAATGGCGGAAAACGCAACTCGACATGCGATTAAATTTTAAATAAGAAAATCGTATTCTAAGAACAACAGGAGAAAATTAAAAAAAAACAGGTATTAACTGCTAAAGCGGGAGACCTGGCAACACTGATAATATAAAACAATGCTTTTTTTCATGTCGCATTAATACGAAAATAATTGTATAGGTACAAATGATGTCGACGGATATATATCTGGCACTCGCAAATTCTAAATTAAAATTATCTCTTCCACTTATTTTTATTTCTGGTGTAATTTTTCTTTACAAAGAAAAACCTAACAGTTAGTAAAATGCCCAAATTAAAATAATGATAAAAATTACACTTGAATTTTAGACGATAATTTTATAAAATCGTGCTAGGAAATACCTTTAATTACTCTGCCAATTAGCTTTTATTATTTATTGAAAAAATAACACACACACACACACACACACACACACACACACACACACACACACACACACACACACACACACACACACACACACACACACACACACACACACACACACACACACACACACACAAACACACACAAACACACAAACACACACACACACAACACACAAAACACACACACACACATATACATAACACACACACATATACACAGCACACACACACACGCGCACAGTTTTATGATTTCTAGTTTAAATTTGTTTCTACCATAAATAAATATAAACATATACCTATTAGGTTGTAATGGGATGTTTTTAAATTGTATCGAGGTTTCGAGGCCTGGTGTTCTAAAATACAGGTAGACTACTGCCTAGTTTAGACTCCAGTCTCCCACAGACACGTTAATGTATGTATATCAATAACCTATGTTAACTATGATCCGGTGATGTTTGTGGAGAGAAATAAATTTATTTATTATTAGTACTCTTGCCGATGAATTACAACAGTGGTCAAATAATAAATGGCTAGATTATAAAATTATTGTTTTCTTTCACAGGTGATACCGCTTCGTTGGTTGCCATTAGAAGCTGTGATGGAAGGCGATTACTCTACTAAGTCTGATGTCTATATGTTCGCTGCCACAGTTTGGGAGGTAAATAAAAATAATAACTTTATTTTTGTATTTTTTTTTTTAACCATTCAACTGCTAGACGGTTAAGGATGTATTCCGTAATATATACCAGTATACTAGCCAGTGCTAACGACGTCATGAATCGACGCTATACTGGTGAATTGTTCCGAAATATATTGGCCAGTGCACTGACGTCATAAATCGACGAAATTTTAAAAATAGTGCGATTAAGGAATATTTTTTATTCACCTCATCAATTAAAAGGAATTCTTTTTGTTCCGATGCCGTTATTATTCTTTAAATAAAAAGAAATAAAATTCGAATGTATCTCACGCACGCTCGGTCATATGTCATACACGTTTTCCCGGTAAAAGTATGGTAGCATACCAGTACAATATGGCGTTGGATTCGTGACGTCATTACCACTGGCCAGTATACTGATGTATATTTCGGAATACACCCTAAATCTAAAGAAAATTTACTAGATTTTTTTTACGTACCTTTTTATTATAATTTTAGAATAAGCCCGTCTTTATTTGAAGGACTTTTGGATTTATTATCACAATATCTACAAAAAATATCGTACAAAGGTAGCCTCAGAGCGGACTAAAATGGTGTCACCAAGTGTGACGTCATATCTCGAAAACGTGCGATGCAAATCAGTACCCTTAGTACGAGTTTTACAATTACGAAAACTATGATAGTTTTCGTGAGCTTGCACTCGTACTAAGGTTACTGATTTTATTGTTTTCGTTTCAATACAAATAAACAGTGTTTAAATTCTATCATTAAATCATTTGTGTCTTCTTAAGTTTTAAGTATATTTGGTTACTTTTCACCAAAATGGACATAGAAACATAATTTATAATTACGAAAACTATAGCACGTACCAATATCGAATTCGAATAGTTTGCGAGTCTGAAATGTCATTGTCAAATGTGTACTGATTTTTAAGTTCTTGTTGCGTACTTTGTGGTGCTGCTGTTCAAATTTTCATACAAAATTTGACATTGACATTTCGCACTCGCAAACTATTCTAATTCGATAATGGTTCGTACTAGGTGTACTGTACCCCTAGCACGAACCAATATCTAATTCGAATAGTTTGCGAGTCCGAAATGACATTGTCAAATGTGTACTGAGTTTTAGTTCTCGTTACGTACTTTGTGCCGCTGCTGTTCAAGATTCCATACAAAATTTGACATTGACATTTCGCACTCGCAAACTATTCGAATTCCATAATGGTTCGTACTAGGTGTACGAGTTTCAGCTCACGAAAACTATACTACAGATCGGAAGTATTCGTGCGAGCTCGCAGATATTTGCGATGCGATGCGAATTCGCAGTTACGTGTGGGAGCAATAATGCTTGTATTTTAATAGAATAACGACTTCTGTTTAGTTTCTCATTGAGGTATTTTTCTTTTAGATTTATACAAAAGCGGAACTGCCATTCGCGAAATTGAACGATAACTCAGTGTTGGAGCGGTTGAAGGCAGGCACATTGGAGTGGCCAGTCCCCAGTTCGATGCCCGAAGCACTCGCTGCGTTGCTTGTAAGTGATTTTAAATTAGCTAATTATGTAAGTTTGGTAATTAGTAATATTCAGTATCCGATGAATTATGTTCGTTTCAATGATGTAAAATTTGTTGTAAATATGATATTTCAAGGTCATCTTTATGAATCAATAAATTTCGCGCCCGAATTAGACCAATATGTGATATATCATTATTACGAAAATAATGGTTTAGTGTCTGTGCGGAAAGAGAATGGGATTTAGATTTGAGGGCGCAGTAGTGCTTTTCTACCGTATTCGTAAGGTTTTACCCCTTTTAGACATGATTAAATACAAAAAACCGCACGAAATCACAACAACAAACAAATCCGTATCAATATAAAACTTTGACGTTTAACAGATTGCTGGGTTTGATTGCCAAATAAAAATCTTAATATTAGTTCCGCTTTTCGCCACGCCCATTCTCTTTCCGCACAGAGTCTATAATTGTTTTTTTTTACTAAGTTGATGTCAATAAAGTTACGTGGCAGACTGCATGTCTGCATGACGACCACAGCTTTTATTGTTGATGTCGAAACATCGATTATTCAATCATTGATGAGTGTAGAGAAATTCTGTACCCTTAATGGAATAGACATGCCTATAAAATAGTATGTATGTGTAGTCTTCAGATATTAATAGCAGAATCAGCAGTTCAGATGCCCAAGCATGACCCTTGAAAGTTTTTTAAAGCATCGTAACTAGTGTTGCCGGGTCCGATTTGTTTTAAATCGGTACAGGAGGTCAAAAAATCGGGATTTAGGGTTGCAGATCGGGACAGTAAAGAAAAAACAAGGGGTTTATAAGTCTGGGTTTAATTTATTGCGATTTAAACTACTAGTGCAAGTATAGTATTATATTAATTACCTAAATTTAATTTTTTGATTAATCGGCACATTTTGCGTCACGATCAGGTACAAATCGGGACGGGTCCCCAGACCTCTGAAAATCGGGCAACACTAATCGTAACCCTCAAAGTTTCTATGAAAACTAAGCAGCGCCTCTATCGGATGTAAGAGCAAACTAGATTTATCCATACAGAATGTGGGCTACCGGTTTTCGTCTCACCAGATGGCATCACTGTTGAGTGAGGTCCTGGAGTGTAGCCTTTAAAGTTTGTTAATACGCGCGTGAAATCAAAGTTTACATTTAAATTAAAGCTGTTAACGGGATTGTTACCATGTACCTTGTTGTTACTCCGTGATCATGGCGCTTGCAACAGTGCCGAAATATCGGAGACTCATAAAAAACAAGGTACATGGTAACAATAATATTAGTGACCATGAAAGTTTAAAACAATATATCGTTTACATTTCAATCATAATTTAATACAAAAAAACGTAATCGGCTATGCCACAGTGTTGCGCAGTTCCTTTTTGTTCGGAAAGAAAGGACACGGTAATAATATCATACAGTATTCTATCTTCATACAAACGGTCGGAAAGCGAGTCATACCTACGCCACTCGAGTTCGATGGGCTCTCGGCGGGCACCCAGTCGCGAATGCGCCGCCGCGCCGTAACGACGGCCGAACGGTCTGAATTCTTTTTTATGCAGTTAGCCGTGCTTAAATGTGCGTTTTGTATTGTAAATATTTGATTTAATTAAGTAGATACCTACATAATTTAGTATGGAAAAGAACAAACGACGATCAATATCGTACAACAGCACAATTGCTGTTTTATGTTGCTTGAACTCTTCAATAACACACCCAGAGATATCATTTTTTAAATTACCTGAAATATTGGAAAGGTGTCTTACCTTTATAGAATATTTTTGAAGTTATACTTCTTTAGACGCGTTATGAAAAAATGATGAGAGTGAAATTTTAAGATGCGCGCGCATCACTGTAACACAAAATTTTAACAGCATGAAGTTGGTCGCTTTATAAAAATCTACCAACAAAATAGAAATAGAATCTCTATTTAGGGGGTGTTAACGACTGCATTGTGAAGGCCTATCAAAAGTATTTATTAATCTGGAACAACGGAACCAAAGCGCGATTCAGGAGACTACTGCGCCATCTCTTGACCATTGGTGTAGTAGAACCAAAAACTACATCTTTATTTTTTGTAATAAAGTAACAGTTATAGGTATTCATATTTATAATATCAAAAGTATTTATTAATCTGGAACAACGGAACCAAAGCGCGATTCAGGAGACTACAGCGCCATCTCTTGATCATTGGTGTAGTAGAACTAAAAACCACATCTTTATTTTTTGTAATAAAGTAACAGTTATAGGTATTCATATTTATAATATTTATCCACATGTTTCTAGTTTGTATATTCGGAATACGTGTTTGAGTTTCATACAAGTGCAAATCACATATGTTCTAATAAATTATATTCAGTAGCGATTTTAATTGAATATTTTGATTATTTATTTATTTTTTCAAATTAAAACTGAACTTTATTGACTGTGTCCTTTTCCAGACTTTTTATTAATTTATTGTAATTAATTATTTGCATGCAATTAAAAACTAATTTTAAACGATGCCAAAGAAGGATAACTTCTCACGCGCCTACATAAGTACACGCACCCATTTTTTATATACCTATCTACTAGTACGTTATTTGTTTCTAATATTTAAGTATTTCGGTTTTTCCATCGGGCAAAATATCTGGAATAATATATAAATATGTAAGTGGTTAGGATGAAAAAAGAGACAAACGAGTAATCTACCTACACTCGCGTTAAAAACAAAACTACATAAAATACTGTAGGCGGGCGGCCCTACCGTGTGCCAACGCAGCGCTTGGTGTAGGCATTTATTTTCAAGGACAGGGCGGAGTCACAATACTGTATAGATAATATTACCGTGGAAAGGAGCACATGATTTATTTTACTTAGCTCTGCTTTTAAATCGCTGACATTGACACGTAACTGATATTTGCCATAATTCATCGGAGTTAGTACCAATTACACTTCAGTTCAATGTCCGAAGACATTCATATAACAATGTAGTATAGCTTGTTGCTAGGAGTACCTTCGTCACGTTTAGAGAATATTAAAAAAAAAAAAAGCTATGTTATCTGTCATCTGTCACCATCTGTCAAGTCATTAGTTTTTTGTGACGGATACCTTCAGCACGTTATTTATAAGTTTTCAGGTAAAAAATATATTAGTTTACATATAACGATTTAATTTACGTAAAAATAGAAGTATACAAACGATTAATCATGTGATTAGTGGTGTCGCAGTTTGTGCAACAAGGTGAAAAGAAAATCAAGGAGATACTTTAGAGTGAACCACTCGATAAAACTGTACTTCCTGGGCCCAAGAGGTGGACGAGGATTGTGTTCATGAATAAGTAATAAGGATATTGTCCTAGAACAATTTTTTGTATAAGTAAGTACACAAAGAAATGTACGATTCCGAATGTCCCAAACTTACTAGTATCCTTTAGTAACCTATCTGTTTCTTGATGTGGCAGTACTTGATGCTGTCCTGAAACAGAGTACCTAATGTTTCTTGATGTGGCAGTACTTGATGCTGTCCTGAAACAGAATACCTAATGTTTCTTGATGTGGCAGTGCGTGATGCTGTCCTGAAACATAATTACTTTCTTCCTTAATGTGATACATACTGATTGATATTATCCTGAAAGAAAGCACCTACTTGAATATACCCTGATCTTTAATAAATAGATCAATATATCATGGTCATTTAAGTTAAACCACAAGAATGTCGTTGTTGCCAAAATATCAGACAAACGACTATGACCAGGGCTCATTGTGAGAACGGAATATTTGAATCTATACCAGCGGATAAAACATAGAGGTAATACTGATCTCTGCTTTTCATAAATATTATTAAATTTCTCCAAGCAGTGGTATAACAACTTTAACAAAAACTCAAACAGTATAGAGAAAAGATGTAGTCTCTAAACTTGGGGAAATCTATATCCAGGTAGTACCTGACTATTAATCTTATTAAAAGATTAATATTAATTTAATGATTAACATTCTCTTATGATTATTTGAAAATACTTATATATGCAACAAAGCAACTTCTAAATTAGCAGATTACTAACTTGGGTTAGTTAATATGGAAACACCATGAGACAGATTTTATAAATAACAATTCTAATATTATCATAATAGTGGCATTATTTATGGGACAACAGAAATTTATGGTATACTGATACCGGAACCACTAGAAGTGCCTTGAAACAGATAAATGTATATTATAAAAGAAATATCATTTTATTGAGACACCATTATTAAACTATAAAGGAATGTATTTCTTGTTGAAAGGCTAAGCTAAAAATATTAGAAACTGCATTTTTGTTGAGCATGGATTAATAATAAGGAAAATGACTACATGCTTAAAAAATGCTGAACTGCATTTTGCAAATAATCAGAACTATGTTCAAAAGCTAAAAATGGAAGCACATACCTAATCAATAAAACATCATTGCTACACACCAAATATACAATAAGAATTCCCGGTCTGCTGCTTCCACAATCACTATTCAATAATGATATAGTAAGTATAAAATATGTATAGAGGTAACTCCTTCAACTTGCAAACACAATGCTTGAAGTGAGTGTTAAAACAGTCTTATATGATGGAATCCATTAATGTCAAAAGTAATAAAATTAACAATTAGCAAAACTATATTAGTTCACAAACGAATGTGAACCTGGTTAGACACACCAAAACAGTCTGTTTCTGTTTTGTGTCGATATATTAAATTTAAATAATGGGTGCTTTTAATAATCGCCAATTACTCAAAGGTATAACTAGTGGTTAATTCATATATTGACTTTCACAATACATAAAAGTGGTATGTGCACCACTTACACCTAACAAAACAATATTTATATTTTTTTCTCTATAACACTTAGATGACAACACAATTTTTTAAGTATTTATCATATTGAGACCATACTTTTCAAACAAGGACATATAAAGAGCATGTTCATGTGTATTTTGGTATCAAATCCAAAGAAGGCGATTCATGTGAATTTCGGTCAAATACTATTTGACAAAACTTCGTAACTACCTAGGTTATTTATATTAAAACATACTAATATTTCAGGATTGACATTATAGTATCTCCTTAAGAATACATTTTTATACAACATAAACAATTATGTTGTCATGCACCTTAACTGATAAAAGATTAACATTAATGTTAGGTAATTTTAAAGGATATTATGCTGTGATAAGTATAATTACTTCTGTAAGAACAACAATTAAAATATAAGCATTTTCAATGAAATCATGCACCACCAAGTTTGCTATTTTTATATTATCTTCATGAAATCTGATAATGTATTGGTCTTGCTGTCATTCAAATAATTGATAATAAAAAATAAAATAGAAATAATAATATTTGATTCATAATTTAAATGAAGCTAGTAATAAATTAACATAATAACTATTACCAAACAAACTCTTCAATGATTGATAATCCTTATAATGTAGAAAAATTTTAACTTATAAGATCACAACACCATATAAAAATATATACATATAAATTAACAATTTTATAAAACTATTCTACATAGAATGTGCAATGTGTGTTTTGGTACTGATCTAATTAAATTGCCAACCTTTGTTCCTGTGTGATCTCATTAAGGAATTATGATAAGTCAATAAAACTTACACCCTTACCACATTTTATGGTGGAGTCATAAAATGTTTCATCCCTTAAACAATGTGTACAAATATAATAACAGGTTTTTTTTATCATACTAATAATTTTAAATTTATTATTAATTTTATTATAGACAGTAATATGCAGATACTCTTATCAAATTGACATGAATTTCTGTGGACACCAAGTCAGTTGAAACCAGCCATGCTTGCTTATATTTGGAGGACATTAGAGTACATTTTCTTACCCTAATAAGTTTATCTCCTACTTAGGTACTTTATTTACTAGTAGTAAATATCATAGCATATAATATTACTCATGCTGTAATATTGAAAACAAATTTGTATTCCCTTATTTTACAAGGGATAGTTTATCTTAACATTTCACCAATGCAAGAATCTCTTATAGATGGAATAAAAGCATTCACATTGTATAAATAGTAATTCATCAATGTATCTCTTTGCAGCTTAACTGGATTAATTAATTTTGTGAAACTATATAGTAGGTAATGAAGAATTAAATCAATGAAACAGGTTTCATAAGAAAAAGGATAATAGTCTCAATTACTCTTATTTTAAAATATCTTCTTTCCATATATAGTATCCTTTAAAGCAGTTGGATCACATTTGATAACAGTATATGTGTGCACATAAGTGAGTATGGGGATGGTTTAGATTCACAATTTGTCCCGAAAGATGGTACTGTAATTGGACAGGATAACGTATGTAGACTCTGCTAGTAGTTTTGCAAAATAGTTTTCTAATTTCAACCAACTGAAGCTTAGTTGGCATCTTAACTTAACATTAGCTCTTTAAGTTCTTACCACAAAGGTTCTAGGCATAAATAAATGATTGCTCTCGCTTCACTCCACTTATCTAAGGTTCTAGGTATCCTATCTACTCAAAAATAATACAACCATTATCACTTTCATTTAATATTGATGTAGGAGCGGGTATGCAATAAGATAGCAACAACAACAAAAACAATAATAAAACACTAATTATCTAAGGTTTTAACACAATTGCCGTTAAATAAATAGTTTAGGTACCTTACTTACCTTACTATCTTTAAGGTACTTGTGGTTGAGTATTGTTCACAACTTCCTAGCCGTTTGTTTCTTTTACAATAATCGATGCTAGGTATAGAAAGTGACGTTAATAGTGGAATTAACAACACTCTATTACCGCAACATGAAAATATTAAGTCAATATGAAGAGCACGAAAAAATTACTCTTGTTAGCGATAGGTAGGCGTTAATAAGTATTATTTGTGGTTCTTATTTTCGACTAAAGTATTTATTGTTTTCATGTTCATGTTTTTTACTCATTTTAAGCATTTCACAATAATTATAGTGATATGAATATGTTGTGTGTTCCCTTTACCAATATGTTCTCAGAATACCAGATATGCAATTACTATCATCGTCATATATCTCAGCTCTATAGGACATCAAGAAGACACATTTTCATAATAGAGCTGGGAAAGGTTATGGCTTCGCGACCTCAAAGGACTTAGAACTGGATATTCGGTAACAAATGTAAACCTTTAAGTGGGTAATAATATTTTTCCTTACTTAATTATGCAAAACATAAAGAATGTTTTCATAACACAGATAAGTAATGGTCTTTATACAATTGCATTAATTTAATTTGAATTCATTTGCTTATTGTTATTTATTACTTGTCTTGTACAAGTACTTTTACTTCTAAGTACCAGTAACACTACCTACTGACATTGAATCTATCTACTTATAGGTAGAAGTAGGTACTTGCTTAAAGGTAGAGTGAATTTTTGATAGCTGGCAGAATTTCATAAAAACAGTAAAGCAATATGCATTGATTGTAATCAATAAATGATATGTCCCATTTTACGTTAACCAGGCTCTTAACATCTACATTGTTATATGAATGTCTTCGGACATTGAACTGAAGTGTAATTGGTGGTTAAAGGAACTTACCTGTAAGTGAAGTTCAACCACAATTATACGAAGTTCAATGTCCGAAGACATTCAGTACCCTACCCACCCATAATGTAACATCAGCTACAATAATCCCTGTAACGTAAATTGGGTCATTGGTACAGTCACCAGCACATAATGTATTAGTTAGTTTTTTTTTTAACCCAATCAATACATCACACTATAGACGTATATACCCCAGAATGGCTAAGAAAAAATATTAGGAACTGGGCATCATAATGCGCTGTTGACAGTACTTATACTCTAAAAATAATGACTTGACAGATGGTGACAGATGACAGATAACATAGCTTTTTTTTTTTTTAATATTCTCTAAACGTGACGAAGGTACTCCTAGCAACAAGCTATACTACATTGTTATATGAATGTCTTCGGACATTGAACTTCGTATAATTGTGGTTGAACTTCACTTACAGGTAAGTTCCTTTAACCACCAAATATTCACAATAAGAGGAGCTCGATGGCGCAAGTGGTTAGCGCGTTCGGCTGCGATCGTTGAAGTTAAGCAACTTTCGCAGTGGTCGGTCATTGGATGGGTGACCAAAAATTTACTATCTCGAGTTCCTCCGTGCTTCGGAAGGCACGTTAAGCCTTTGGTCCCGGCTGCATCTGCAGTCGTTAGCACCCGCCAATCCGCACTGGGCCCGTGTGGTGGGTAATGGCCCAATCTCCCCATTCCATCCATAGGGAAGGCCTGTGCCCCAGCAGTGGGGACATTAATAGGCTGATGATGATGATTCACAACATAATTTAAATAAGAAATAAACCCGCGTAGTCAACCCACAAGCAATCACAATTGACATTTAGGAGACTTCCCGCTACGCAAGCACTTCTAGCGGTGGATTCATGCGCAATATCCCACATTTTTATGGAGCTGTCAAAAATGTTTCAACCATGGAGGTTAGGGAGAAGGAGAACGATTGCTACGTGCTAAAGCATTAGCCCGCCTGTCCCTGAAAATATGTAGTACTTATAGTTCATTTTTCAGCCACCAGCCGCGCTGCAGTCGGTAAGTAGTATCCGTGAAGTTAGCTGTTTATGAGTACAAGTAGAGGAAGTTAGTTGAATAATGTACAAATTTTCTTCGCTGCATTGGTCATTTCAAATTAGCGCACAACAGTCCGCTTTTATTGAGACAACTTAGCGATCGCAGCGCCTCACTTATTTTGTCCATATTTCTGGGACACTATTTTTTCCTTCTCTCTAACCTCCATGGTTTCAACGAGCATTACGTTTGTATCACCTTACTTCCTAAATCGAATAATTAAATGCAGATGTGTGTAATCTTAGTTGTTATAATTAATATTTTCCTTTCAGAAACGATGCTGGAGCAAATCGCCGGCTGACAGACCCCAATTCACTGAAATCAGCGAGGAATTGACGAATATAATGAAAACTATTACCGCTGAAAACCCCACAAAAGAAACCGAAGAAAAGGATGGCGAAACGGAGGCCTAAGTGTAAGCGGGACAGATAGTGCGAGTGCGCGTAAACATATATTTCAAATACTCTTTATTCTATTTAACTTGAAACAAAAATAAGAATCTACTACAATGTGCTTATGAAAATTAATAGTATCAGTATATTTCCTGGAAAAGAATGTCAAATTGTATATTATTGAATGCATAATTGCCATGAAACTTGATTGTGTGCACAATCTCATTGGGAGAAAATAAATGCCAAATATTATAGATTTGTACTAATATTTTACAATTCTAAAACTTCCGTCATTATTCTTCTACAATGTACTATTATAATATTTAACTTTAATAACTTGTGTAATTTGATCGTTTTCGGAAAATTGCGGTTGTAATTATTATTTATTATTCTACATTAAATCCTAGAGCTCTTATTAAGAAACATAGAACTTCCAACTTTTCAAAATTAAATTGAACCCAGTTTTCTTACTAATAAGGATTACGTTTCACATAAAAGCTATGATATATAACTAACAAGTAATTGAGACCGTTCATAGGAGTTTTTATGAACCTTATTTATGTCCATTTAGTAAAAAAAATTAGGAATAATATTTCAACATGTTTAAAGGTAGTGTCAATTCTGGCAAGATTCTCTAATTTTAAAATGAAATTTAACATCAGTTTCTCCTTTTCATTTTTTATATAGAATGCCAAGGTTGTATTATTGTCAAATTTAAGTTAAGGTTTAGAGAAATCATGTCAGAATCGACACCGTTGCCATATATTTAAAATTATAATATCGAGTTGATTTATCTCCATGATAACCTTATAGTCTCTGCGTAAAGAGAATGGGAAGAGATTGGAGGGTGTTGTAGTGCTTTTCTACCGTATTTGTAAGGTTTTACCCCTTTTAGACATGATTAAATACAAACCCCAAGAAATCACAACAACAAACAAATCCGTATCAATACAAAACTTTGATATTTTACAGATCGCTGGGTTTGATTGCCAAATAAAAATCTTAATGTTCTATAATTATGTTCTATAATCTATAATTGCTATTTCTTCTTTCAAATGTTTAATACTTGTAAAAGTATTCATTTGACATTGTGGGTTTACCTATAATGCGAAGAGTTGGCGCTGCCTTGCAGCTTAAGAATAGCTAGAAGGAATTTCGACGCGGTCCGTGAGGGCCGCGGTAGCATAATTGGTCAGTGCATTCGCCCGGATTGCGAAGGGTGCGGGTTCGAGTCCCGTCTGCTGCCTGGTCCGCGTGGAATTTTTTCTAGTTATATTTTCTTTAGATTTAAACATCAAGCAGTTACATGCTTTAAAAATAATAAAAAAATGGTTGCCTGTAAAGTCGGTTTTACGGGCGAAGATTTTACGTGACAACGTCTTTTTCTCGGTAGAATATTTATTGATATGAATATAATTAAATTGCACAATAGGAACAAGGAATTGAATGAAAATAAGAATTGCACAAATTTTAACTATAGAAATATATTTTGTTTACTAAAACATTGTACATGTAAACTTAAACTTAACACGAGAGACTCATCGTAACGTTACCGAGCGTTACACTTTTTCATAAGTGACTCCCAGCCGCAACCTAATTTAAGACTTTGTCACGTCAAAATTATAACTATAATTGCTATTTCTTCTTTCAAATGTTTAATACTTGTAAAAGTATTCATTTGACATTGTGGGTTTACCTATAATGCGAAGAGTTGGCGCTGCCTTGCAGCTTAAGAATAGCTAGAAGGAATTTCGACGCGGTCCGTGAGGGCCGCGGTAGCATAATTGGTCAGTGCATTCGCCCGGATTGCGAAGGGTGCGGGTTCGAGTCCCGTCTGCTGCCTGGTCCGCGTGGAATTTTTTCTAGTTTTTTCTAGTTATATTTTCTTTAGATTTAAACATCAAGCAGTTACATGCTTTAAAAATAATAAAAATTATATCTTAATGTTAGTTCCGTTTTTCGCCACGCCCATTCTCTTTCCGCACAGACTCTACCAATATCATCAAAAATAACACTTGCTTATAATTTAATATTAAAAAAACATAATAATTTAACAGACGCTGTCATTTTTGTTTGCTAAAAACAAGACAGGTTTAAATCCTAAACCCCTTATTAATAAACGAAGATTAAGCATGGATAGTAGTTACTCCATGTTATGTCTCTGTCTATTGAATGACAAATGGCATTTGAGTGGCATGAACAAAACACGGCGTAACTATTCTTAGTTTATTCCTTGTTTATTAATAACGGTGTAATGGTTTAAACCATGTCCAGGACTAACTTTAGTCCGTGTTTTGGCATAAGGCAGGAGTCTTTAAAGTTTACCCATCGCTGTATTTACCGTCTGATTTTGAACCTTATTTTTAAGTGCATAAACTAAAACTGGTTAAAACCAGGACTAACTTTAGTCCGTGTTTTGGCATAAGGCTGGAGTCTTTAAAGTTTACCCATCGCTGTATTTACCGTCTGATTTTGAACCTTATTTTTAAGTGCATAAACTAAAACTGGTTAAAATCAGGACTAACTTTAGTCCGTGTTTTGGCATAAGGCAGGAGTCTTTAAAGTTTACCCATCGCTGTATTTACCGTCTGATTTTGAACCTTATTTTTAAGTGCATAAACTAAAACTGGTTAAAACCAGGACTAACTTTTGTCCGTGTTTTGGCATAAGGCTGGAGTCTTTAAAGTTTACCTATCGCTGTATTTACCGTCTGATTTTGAACCTTATTTTTAAGTGCATAAACTAAAACTGGTTAAAACCAGGACTAACTTTAGTCCGTGTTTTGGCATAAGGCAGGAGTCTTTAAAGTTTACCCATCGCTGTATTTACCGTCTGATTTTGAACCTTATTTTTAAGTGCATAAACTAAAACTGGTTAAAACCAGGACTAACTTTAGTCCGTGTTTTGGCATAAGGCTGGAGTCTTTAAAGTTTACCCATCGCTGTATTTACCGTCTGATTTTGAACCTTATTTTTAAGTGCATAAACTAAAACTGGTTAAAATCAGGACTAACTTTAGTCCGTGTTTTGGCATAAGGCAGGAGTCTTTAAAGTTTACCCATCGCTGTATTTACCGTCTGATTTTGAACCTTATTTTTAAGTGCATAAAATAAAACTGGTTAAAACTAGGACTAACTTTAGTCCGTGTTTTGGCATAAGGCTGGAGTCTTTAAAGTTTACCTATCGCTGTATTTACCGTCTGATTTTGAACCTTATTTTTAAGTGCATAAACTAAAACTGGTTAAAACCAGGACTAACTTTAGTCCGTCTTTTGGCATAAGGCAGGAGTCTTTAAAGTTTACCCATCGCTGTATTTACCGTCTGATTTTGAACCTTATTTTTAAGTGCATAAACTAAAACTGGTTAAAACCAGGACTAACTTTAGTCCGTGTTTTGGCAGAAGGCAGGAGTCTTTAAAGTTTACCCATCGCTGTATTTACCGTCTGATTTTGAACCTTATTTTTAAGTGCATAAACTAAAACTGGTTAAAACCAGGACTAACTTTAGTCCGTGTTTTGGCATAAGGCAGGAGTCTTTAAAGTTTACCCATCGCTGTATTTACCGTCTGATTTTGAACCTTATTTTTAAGTGCATAAAATGTAAATTAGATAATATACTAAGCTAAATTAAATTAAGCTGACACGAAAGCTAAATGATACTGCCATTTTGTAAATATTTATACTAGGATATAAGACTGAAAATGTAGCCATCTTAGATGTAAAGCTTTAGCTTAAGTCGTTCGTCCGAAATTGATGGAATATTGACGTCCTGATTGAATCGAAATTTTATGATTGATAAGTTATTTATATTATTGTAATGTAATGTGTCTGTATGTATGTAGGTAGGTAGTTTTCATATTCATTGTAGACGTTTTAAATATTGTATTATTAATTTGTTTCTCTGTATTGTTAGATCAAATTAAGAGTGCCAGTTTTTGTATGTCTCTATTGACAGTCTTTACATAAATTTTACAAATAAAGATTTCGTAATACATCAATTAGTTTTGTTAAAAAAATTAGAAGCAATTTTTTTTCTATATAATAATGGTAAATATACAGGGTGTTACAAAAATACAAATAAATCTTGAAGGTCGTTGAAGTATATCATAAGAGGAGTATTCTCTCATTTTCTTAAAATATTAGCATGAAGTTTTAACTTTTTATAAAAACAGTTGTTATTAATGATAAATAAAAAAAACTATCATTTTCAGACACGTCACTAGTTCGAGAATCATTAAAAATAACTGTTTTTATAAAAAGTTAAAACTTCATGCAAATATTTTAAGAAAATTAGAGAAGACTCCTTATATGATGTACTTCAACGCCCTTCAAGCTTTATTTGTATTTTTGTAACACCCTGTATAAGTCAATATTTGAGGTTAATTCAGCTCAGTTCGCGAGTGTATCTATGTATGTATGTATTATATATAAACTGATTTGAAAGAGTGCAATCCGGGATGTAGTGTATTCTCTGCTTTTAGCAGATTTTATTTAAAGTGAAGAGATTATTTTCGCTCGGTATCTAACGAAAGTTGTAGTGAGCGTGAAAATTTTAGATTGTTTGGAAGACTTATTTACTTTTGAATTTTTTGGTGCAAAAAATTTTAAATTGCCCATAAATGGAGATCTCAACGAAAATGGATTCTACTTAAGTAAGCATTTGGTGGCATTTCATTATTTTTATACTTTTAACTATTCGTTTATTTTATGTCTAAAAAATAATAACTTACATCCGATTATTTTTAGTTTTTTCTTATAAATATGTATGTAAAAAAAAACATTTGGGGACAATTATTTGCCCCCAACAATGAAATATTTAATTTTTAAATTGTGTTTTTTTTTGTGATTGTAAATTATTTTAGCGATACCAGAAGTTGCATTTATAGATATTTAAGTTTTTTTTATATTTACGTGGTAAACATTATATTAATCTGTAACGTAGAGGAAATATTATTATTTGGTAAGTAAAACCTTATAGCAGATAGCTAAATAATGCAATTAAGATAATATGTTCATTATCGAA